TCACCTGTGATCATGATATCAAAAATTATACAAAGTATGAATTTGGTTACGATTTTCTTCCGAAATCCCCATTTCTTTTCATTATTTCCATAGCACCCTAAAAATACACAGGTGGCAGGACTAGTACACTGAAGCTAAATAGTACATGTAGGTAAAATAAAAACAAAACAGAACGAAAATTCCTTTCCACACGGGGTCAGAGTATATTACATAGTGAGACAGATGCAGAGAGACCTCACAAATGCTAACAACAGGATCTAGTTTTTCACGTTAAGATGGAGTTCCAAGCCTTTTGTTTTGTAAAATAAAAACAATACACATTCCGAGGGAAATGAATGCATCTGTTAACATGTCTCTATTTCTCATTTACATATGTACACACGTCGCTTGAGTCGCTGCTGCTGACATCACCCTGCCCGGGTGGGTCAGGCGGAGGGAGCAGACATGTAGCTCTCTGGGGGTGTAGGGCTTCCATTAGGGAGAAAGTATTAGACGTTTCTTAAAAAATAAAATGGTTACAGGGAACATGATACATGGGTAAAGCTTCAAACCAAGGAGATGGGGTGATTGCCTGCACATGGGCCTCCCCGCCGGCCGCCGGCGCCCTGTCCCTCTGTGGAGTGGCAGCTGTGGCCTGGTGCGTACCTGGCGCGGAGAGGGGCTTGCCGAGGCCTCGTTTTTGCTGAGGTTACTTATGGCTCCAAGTGGTCATCCAAACAGGATCAGGGAAGCATCTCCTGAGCTCAGAATTGCCCTGCTGGGGGAGGCTGCCCCGGAACCCGCCACCAGCTGGGGCTTTCCCAGCCCCGGGGGCCTTCATGCCTCCCTCGCTTCCTGGCCTGGCCCCCAAATCGCTCTGGAAGAGTTCGTCCCAGAGGGCGGGCTTCGGCACCTCGGTTCAGGAAGGCTCTTTGCTGAACTTGCTGGTGGGGGCCCGGGCTTCCCCAGAGAGGGCGGAGGAGGTGCCTGGAGCCTGGCTGTGGGAGCAGTGACCTCCTGCACTAGGAAGCTGTGGGCAGGTCAGCTGAGCAGAGCAGGGACACCCCGACAAGAACCAGAACGAACTCCAGGCCTCTCTGGGGAAAAGTACACGGCAGGAAGCAGGAACTTCTAGGGAAGGTGTCTGTAAGTCCGTCTGGGGTGGAACATTCCCACACGCCCGGCCCACCAGCCTACCAGCCGGGGCTATCGGCACTGGGCAAGGACGGCCGCGTGCTCCCTGGTGCGTCTCGTCCCACCAGCCTGGGCCTGGCTCTCCCAGTGGGCAGCCTGGTCTCTAACTCACGGCACAGCCACCTCTGCGCTTCGTCCCTTCATCGGTACAAATAGCCCTGGTTGCTTTTTTGTTTTTGTGTTTTTTTTAAAAAAAGGACTCGGTCTTTGTCGTTGAGTCAAGGCATTTTAAAAACACCAGCAAAGGCTATAACCAGGTCATGAAAATGCTGAAGATTATCAAAGACAATACTAAAATATTCACAAAGATATTTACAAAAGCAATTCTTAAAATAATCGATTTGCATACTGAACACCACACTTTTTGAAAAAACCTCAACAACGGGACAAAGGAAACAAGGTGGGAGCGGACAACGGCAGCTTTCCTTCCGGAAACCTTGTGCTGGCCGCTGGTAGTGACTGGAAATCGACAGCTAGGCCCGGCCCGGTCAGAGGCAGAGGAGTGCTGGGACCACCCGCCCCGCCCCGCCCCGCCCCAGGGAGCCGGAGACTGAGAACACAGGTGGACAGGAGAGCAGGAGGCCCCAGGCAGCAGCAGGGAGGGGCTCAGCGAATTTACAGACGTGACACAAGTGACCCGCCGGCCTAGCAGCGTCCCAGGCCGTGCGGTGGAGGGAGCAGAGGACACACAGCTACCTGGAGGCTCAGAGCAGTCGGCTGAGTGGGAGGGAAACCAGAGGCTGCTTCTGTCTGAACCAGCAGGAGTGTGGGGTGAGCTTTCGACGGCAGAGGGACACAGAGGGGAGCGGCTGGCAGCCAAGCGCGGTGTCTGAGGCAGCCATGCAAACACCCTTGATGCTTGTGGGCGCACCCCAGCACACACAGCAGCCTCGGACATCGGCAGCCAGACAGCGGGGGCTGGAGATACCGATGCCGGGTTCCTGCCGCTAAGCCTGCACACACCCGAGCCAGCATCTCCCGTGCCTTTCCACCATCCCACCTTGCCGTCTGCGGGGGACAAAGGGGCATCAGTAGAGAGGGAAGTGGGTGTCCCACGTAGCAGTCTGGGAGAGGTGGGAGAGGAGCAGGAGGGAGGACACAGCACACATGGGAGAATCGGTTTGCTTGCTGTCCGAGTCCAATGTTCTCTTCTCCAGATGACTTTGTAGCTTGAGGCTGTTGTTCAAAAACAGGAGTGGCTTGGAGCAGTTTTAAGTTGCCGTTCCTACTGACCACCTGGTGGCATTCCCCCGCCCCCAACTAAGGGCACAATAATTTCCGCCGGGCACTCGCTCTCTGCCCTCCCAGGCCCGAGCCCAAAGGTCGTGGAGCCACCTGCTGTGCTGTCCTGGCTCTGAGGCCCTGACCCTCTCCCCACCAGCCCCCAAGCAGGAACGGCACACCCTCTCTCAAACACAGGATCGTGTCCTCCTTCTCTGCTTGCTGAGACAGTGTCTACAGGGTATCTTGGCTAGAGGTCAGGGGTCGAGTGGCAACCGTGGCCCCTCCGTGAGTGGGCTTTCCCAGAGGCTTGTGCTTTTCTGTGGTGGGTGACGGTGGTGGGCGGGCTGTTCTCCCTGCAGCCGACTGTCACTGCTCCCCAGGGCTCGGCCGCCTGGGTCTGGGGGCTTCTTTCGGGCTCAGTCACAGAAGGAGGCTCTGGGCCAGGAAGCAGGGAGGCAGGGTTACAGTTTGGAGACTGGAAGAACCTGGCGGCCACTGGAGGTCGCGGGGGTCAGCACACGGAGGGATCAGGAAGCTGTCGGGTGTCCTCTCACCGCGCTCCCATCGTGAGGGTCACCTTCTGGCCGGCTCCAGGCACCGGCTCCAGACCACAGCCTTCACAGAACACCCTCCGCCCCTCCGCTCTGAGGCCACGGCAGGGGGGAGGGTCTGAGGACTCGGCTCCCAGCGGGGAAAGTGTGTGGGACGACGGGAGGGAGCAGAGTGGGGAGGGATGGCCCCGGCGGAGGGCGGGCTTCAGTTGTTCTCAAAGAGAGACAGGAGGTCATCGTTACTATTGCTCGGCAGGTCGGGGGGGTCCAGGTACGAGAGGAGCTCGTCGGGATTTGTGAGTTCTGGCAGGAGCTGGAGGAGAAATACAGAAGCCAGATGAGGTGCCGGCTGAGGGGCTGGTGAGGGACACGGGGCATCCCCATGCCCGTTCCCTTGCCTGCCTGCCTCCCAGGGTCCTGGCCCGACAGGGGAAACGAGCCGTGCTAGCTGTCCCCAAACGCCCGTGGCCACGTGTGGTCGGGGCACCCATGCTTGCTTCAAGCCCACCAGCTGGGAAGGCCCTGGCGGGGCAGAGGCTTCCTCGCAGCAGACCCTCTGGCCCCGGCACCTGCCCCAAGGACCTGCAGGGCCAGGGGCCTCCCAGCGGAACCCAAGTGCATGGAGGTGGCCCCTGCTGCCCGGATCCCTTGCTCTCAGGAGCTCTCCGCTCCTTGGCAGGCCCCTGGCAGGCTGGCAGCATGGCCCTGGGCAGAGGCTGCAGGGTTCCTACCCTCTACCCTGAGGCCCTTGGAGTCTTCCTGTCATAGGGGCCTCGTGAATCTAAGGCACCTCCTGGCCTGCTTGGTGGAGGAGAGCTGGGCAGCGCCCAGTGACCGCCCAGCGAGGGCACCCATTCACCCCAGACTGACACTGCGGGGCCACGGGTGACGGGGCTGGGACTGCAGGGCAGGAGAGGGCAGGCCTCCTTCCAGGAAAGCTAGAGCTGGGGCTGGGGAGGGAGGGCAAGTCCTGCCGGTTTCCTGTCTCGCCCTGGCCCGCCCCCAGCATTCCGAGCATCTCCTCCCATCTTTCAGGCCGTCCAGCTCTCAGGCGGGAGACTGAGTCTCAGCCTCCCACGTCCGCCTCAGCAGCCCCCGTGACCGGAGGCTGGCCCCTCGCACCCCGTCCAGGGGCCTGTCTCAGAGTGAGCGATGGAGCAAGCAGAAGCAAGGGCATGGATAACACACGGACAAGAAACTGGAGACAGACACACACCAGTGAGACAGAGGGGCTGTCATTCCAGCCCCTCCCCTGCCCCGGCCAGAGAGTGTGGCAGACACGGAGATGGCAAACTCAATGTGGGCAGAGAGGGGGAGGAGGGGAGGGGGAGAAGGGCAGGAGCCTCCTACGCTGCCTCCGGACCGGGCCCAGAGGGACTCTGTGAGGGCCTGGGGAAGGTGGAGTGAGGCTGGGCTGCAGGACCGCGGCCAGGGGGCGAGGGGCAGGGGCTGGGAGGGCAGGGGAGGGGACCCTCGGACCCTCAGTGAGGCTTCCCCATGGTGGGGGTTCCTGGTTTTGAAGCCAGGGGAGACAAGCTGCCTGGGCCCACACACCACCCACCCAGCCCCTCACAGCTACACCTCCTCCACCCGGGCCTTGAGCCTCAACACCCAGCCCTGCTCTTTGGGCAGGTCTCGGGCGCCAGGCCTAGCCCCAGGCCAAGGCAAGTGGGGACCCCAACTTACATCCAGCGAAGGCTCCGGCATGTCGGATGCTCCCTGCGCGCCGGCCTGACCCTCTAAGGCTGAGGAGGGGTTAAAGGTCAGGTCGCTGTGTGGATGGTTGCTGGGAGCGGCCTGTGGCGGTTGCCGGGGAGGCTGGGAAGGAGGAGGAGGAGCCCCACTGTGATGTAATGGAGGCCCTGACTGGCTGCTGGGGTGTGGGACGTGCAAACCTTGTTGTATGGAGGGATGGGGCTGGTCAGAACTGCCAGCGTGTGGCATCTGTGGAGGAGGAGAGAGCAGGAGAAAAGAGAGGTGAGGTGACGAGGCACAGCGACGGATGCCTGGAGAAATGAGAACCAAACAAAACCAGGAGAACAACACACCCCCAAAACAGAGCCAACCCTACAAAGCTGAATGCTGCTCTTGTTTTTTTTTGTTTTTGTTTTTGCAGAGAAACAAACAAAATCCTCCCCCAGAACTGCCAGTTGGGGAGGTTGTGGAGGGCAAAATGGGGAAGGGCCGTCTGAGGCTGTGGGTCCAGGAGGGAGGTGGCCAGGGGCTCGGAGACGAGCAGACAGCACGGGCCAGGCCCCGGGAGCCCGCCGCCTCCCAGCCTGGACTCCACCACAATGAACAACAGCGCGGGCAGATGGACAAGCACAGTGGGCAGGTTCCCAGGGCGGGGGGTGGGAGGTGCTGCTGGCAGCATGGTGCGGGCGCCAAGGGCCGGGGGAGGAGAGCAGACGCGGACAGACAGCATGGGGCAGGCGTGCAGCTCATGGATCTGTGCCCCCCAAGTGGGCACACAGGTTTCCTCCAGGAGCCTTGGTACTGGCCCTGCCTGGTGCCCTGGGGCAGGGAGAACTGAGCCTCAGTCAAAGGAGCCGAGTGGGGCCTCCCAGACTCTTCCTCCTGCCACCCACCTACTGCTGTACCCCGGGGCGCTACGGAAGGCAGGCACCTCCCCCCTCCAGGGCACCAGGGCTCGCCCAGGGGCCGCCTTGCTAAGGTGGAGGTGGGTGGTGCCTCTCTGACAGGTGAACTAGAGGACTCCCGTGGGCATACGCCATGGACAGGGGGGCTGTGGGTGGGCAGGGGAGGTGGTGGGTGGGACTTAAACTTTACTGCTAGTCTGTTGGCTGTCCCCCTTCCTTCAGAGCTTGGGTCTCGAAGAGAAAGGCTGAGTCCAAGCCCTCCCCCTCCCCCAGCATACCCGCAGGCCCTCAGCCCAGGCGCACTGCCAGTGAGGGGAGCGCACGGACTCACCAGGGCAGCCTGGTGAGCAAATGTCTCCTTGGTCTTTGGTACGTCCTCCCCTCCCCACCTTCTGGGTCACACGAAGCATTACTTTTTCCCTTTATGGGTTTGAAAATGGCAGCCACACCTTCCCTGATCTTCTCTAGACTAGTTCCTCTTCCTGTTTCCTCTTGCTGTGGGCTGGCCTCTGCCCCTGGCCCAGGTGGTCCCTCGGAGCAGTGCCCCGCCAGCCGGGGCCCTGAGATCGGGGCCCAGGGCACCGAGTGTGGGGTACACATACGGTGAGAAGAACCAGGAGGAGCCGGAGGGATAGGGCCAGCTTCTGACTCCCACCCATGCCTGTGGATGCCCCACAGGGCACATTCTGGGGGGCAGGGAGGGGCTCCACACTCCTGGGGCATCCCAGCCCAGGACAGTCCCCAGATGTGCTGACACAGCTGTTCCCTGTGGCCCTGACATTTTGCTGGAGTCAGGGGCAGGTGCTCTCTGGACCTGCTGACAATACCCGTCGACCTGCCACCTGGCACGGGCCTCGAGTGAACCAGCGCCTGGCTGAAGCCCGCCCGGCAGTCCCTGCGCACAGGGGACTCCTGCCCAGCCGTGTGCTCAGCTGGGGCAGGCTGCCCTGGCGGGGCAGGTGTTGGGGGCGTTCATCTGTGACTGTACCACCCCACCCCACCTTGCACCGCTGTACTTCTGGGTCCAGTTGCCATCTACAGAGAGCCCAGAAACGGGGAAGGACAGTGCATATTTGGGGAGCCTCCTGCGGGACTGTGAAGTCAACTCACAGGCTTAGATCCCTGAGGAACCGGATGCAGGGCTAACAAGGCAAGAGAAAGCCCCGCTGGACACAGGCGAACAACATCTGCTGCCATTTGCCAGCGCTGGGGACTGTGAGGGCTCTGGATGTGCAGCACTGAGAGTCGGGGGGTGTGGGGGGCTGGGAACTGTGAGGGCTCCGATGTGCAGCACTGAGAGTCGGGGGGTGTGGGGGGCTGGGAACTGTGAGGGCTCCGATGTGCAGCACTGAGAGTCGGGGGGTGTGGGGGGCTGGGAACTGTGAGGGCTCCGATGTGCAGCACTGAGAGTCGGGGGGTGTGGGGGGCTGGGAACTGTGAGGGCTCCGATGTGCAGCACTGAGAGTCGGGGGGTGTGGGGGGCTGGGAACTGTGAGGGCTCCGATGTGCAGCACTGAGAGTCGGGGGGTGTGGGGGGCTGGGAACTGTGAGGGCTCCGATGTGCAGCACTGAGAGTCGGGGGGTGTGGGGGGCTGGGAACTGTGAGGGCTCCGATGTGCAGCACTGAGAGTCGGGGGGTGTGGGGGGCTGGGAACTGTGAGGGCTCCGATGTGCAGCACTGAGAGTCGGGGGGTGTGGGGGGCTGGGAACTGTGAGGGCTCCGATGTGCAGCATGTGAGAGTCGGGGGGTGTGGGATGCTGGCCATGGAATGCTGAGGTCCTGGGGGGCAGGGCTGGGAAAGGTCCCCAGAAGTAGGGAGCCCCATAGGGAAGAAAGTACCTCGCCGAAGCCCCGAGAAAGCAGCCATTTCTGACCTGGCATTCGGGGTCCTGTGGGAATGCTGCTACGGCGCCCCTCACCCAGACTCCTGGTCCTGCCCCTGCACTAACAATCGGGTGGCTCTGGCCCCAGGACGGCCCGCTCTCAGTGGCAGGGCCACCTCCAGGTCAGGTGTGTGGGACACAGCCCAGCCCAGAGGCCCCTTCCTTCCAGGCCACGTGACGAAGGGCCTGAATGGCGCCTTCCGGTGTAGGCCGACCCAACCTGCTGCCAAACAGGACCCCTCTGTGGGATCCCTGGCCCTTCCCTCCTGCCCTGTGGCCCAGGACCCACTGCTGGGCCTCACCAGCCTCCTCCCACTCCTCCCCTCTCAGGAGCAGCCAGAATCACTGAAGCCTCAGCCTTCGGCCCTCGGGCTTCCCCCAAACCCCAACTGTCCTTGCTCCATTCAGGCCCTGCCAGAGCTTGGCTCCATTAGTGCAAGGCCCGCGTCTGTCCTGCTTCCATCAGGTACAAGGCCCAGCCTGGGCCCAGGCTAAGGAAACGCCTGTTAAATTGAGTGGAAGCATCCAGTGCTCACTGGCCTCCCACCTCTGCTGCCAGGGCCACGGGGCGGGAGGCCTCTGGGTGGCAATGGACACCTTGCCTGCAAGGGCTTTCTCAGCAGTGCAGGGGATGTGTAAGAGGTAAAACGGGACAGGAGTGAATGCGCCCGGAGAAGCAAACTTCCCGGCATTGCTTTTTGCAGGAGGTGGTGATACCCCAAGCATTCAGACCCCTGGGGAGTAAGTGCCTGGGTTTGGGACAGAATTCTACATGGCCGGGCTACAGTAAGATAATGTAAGAGTGTGTGTAAGTGGGGGAGAGAGGGAGGGAGTGGCATATGGGGATGTGTACAGTGTTTGTGTGAGGTTGTAGTTGGGGTGTGCATGTGTGTGGGGCTGTACATGGGGTGTGCATGTGGATGAGATTGTATATGGGGTGTGCATGTATGTGAGGTTGTACATGGGGGTGTGCATGTGTGTGAGGTTGTAGTTGGGGTGTGCATGTGTGTGGGGCTGTACATGGGGTGTGCATGTGGATGAGATTGTATATGGGGTGTGCATGTATGAGGTTGTACATGGGGGTGTGCACGTGTGTGAGGTTGTACATGGGGTGTGCATGTGTGTGAGGCTGTAGTTGGGGTGTGCATGTGTGTGAGGCTGTAGTTGGGGTGTGCATGTGTGTGAGGCTGTAGTTGGGGTGTGCATGTGTGTGAGGCTGTAGTTGGGGTGTGCATGTGTGTGAGGCTGTAGTTGGGGTGTGCATGTGTGTGAGGCTGTAGTTGGGGTGTGCATGTGTGTGAGGCTGTAGATGGGGTGTGCATGTGTGTGAGGCTGTACATGGGGTGTGCATGTGTGTGAGGCTGTACATGGGGGTGGCATGTGTGTGAGGCTGTAGATGGGGTGTGCATGTGTGTGAGGCTGTACATGGGGGTATGCATGTGTGTGTGCAGGGAGGAGCCTGAAGCGTCCATCTCCTGAGCCTGTCCTGGGTGAAACAGGTCCAAGGGTGCCGATGGGCTATGACCCAGCCCCAGATAGTCTCTCACTCCTTCCTGAGCCTCAAACACAATTCTCAGTCCTCCCCTTGGCCTGGGAGGAACGAGCAAACACTAGAAGGTGCTGGGGGAGCCGTGTGCCAGTCAGCCTCCGCGGAGGTGGGGGCTGGGGAGGTGGGATGAGGAAGCGGTACTCACAGTTTCCTGCATGGGGTGGCTGAGGGGCTTCTCCAGGGCAGCCATGTTGTTGGGCATGTCTGGCGGGTGGGAGAGCTGGGGGGGGCCATGCATGAAGTCGTTCATGGACGTCCCACCAGGGTTCCCATGGGGGAAGTCAAAGTTGCCGTGGCCCTGGTAGTTGTTGCCTGGGGGGAACAATGGGCGGGGTCACTGGAGGAAAGACAGCACCCCTGGGTTGCAGGTGGCATGCAAATTAAGAACCGAGTCCTGTCCTTCTGAGGCCCGAGCTGGCTCCTGCAGCCTCAGCATCCGGGCTGTGCCATGGACAGCCATGTGACCTCGTCCAGTGGGCCTCAGCCCCAGGGCCTGTGCTGCTCTACAGCTAGGAGGGGCGGAGTGGGAGAAAGGGGGGCCTGGTCCCTGTGGGCAGGGGACATGGAGTGAGGCCCATGTCTCAGGCCTCCGCAGGATATGCCGAGCTAGCCCCTGGACCTGCTTCCCCCACGGCCACCACAGGGCTGCACCTCATGGCTGGGACGACCATCCCAGAGCGGCTCAGATCTGCCAAGTTTACAAAGAAAACTGCGTCAGAATCAAGACGACACCATTAGAAGCCAGCTGTCTGCCTCCCGGCTGCTGTGCCCCAGCACGTGGCCTTGGCGAGGTCAGATCAGCACCCGGGGAAGCTGGGCCTTGGCCTGCTGTGGACACATGCTGTGCGACACTGCTGGGTGGGCTAGCCTCTCCGGGCCTGCATCCTCCAGGAGCTCTGTGGACCTAAGAGCAGGGTCCTATGAGGGAGCTGCTGCTCCATGTTCGAGGGGGTGGATACTTCCTAGAAATGGCCATACGGTGAAGCTTGGTCTGGGCACCAGAGAGCAAGAGGTCAGTGATGGTGACCTTGGTAGCCCAAGGCTGGAGCTCCAAACCCTGGGACTCTGCCCCTGGCAGGGTGGCAGCATTGCAGAGACAGGGACAATATAGATGTCACTGAGATGGGGGGCGGGGGCAGAGAACTCCACGTGAGAGTATTCTGCTGGTCCCAGTGAGCACTGAGGCTGGGGAAAGGGTGGCAGTGTGCCCCCAGCAAAGCAGGCTCAGGAGCCCCTGGGCTTGGCACCTGCCTGCCTGGAGTCAGGAGCAGGCCAGGCAGGGTGGGTGGGAGAGGCAGGAGGCTGGCTCCTGGGGCAGCTCTTCACTCAGGCTTCCCAGCTGGGCGCCAACCACAGGGCTGGATGGAACAGGCAGTTGGACTAAGGTGGGAGGTGCATGGGCCGCCGTACCCCCAAGTCCAGTGATGTGGGATTGTCCTGGGGGGCGTATGCCACCTCTGCCTCTTCATACCCCCCACCCCCCGCCCCACCTGCCACCATCAGCAAAGAGGTCCTTTGTCCCCGCTGGGATCCCGGTGCTGCCCTCCTTGTCTGGCGTCACCCACCTTGGTTGCTGTAGTCGTTGGAGTTGTTGGCCCCAGGCGGCGGCGGGAGTGGGTAGGGGGACGGGCCAGGGCCCAGGGCTGCGATCATCTCCATGACGTTGGGCATGATCATCTGGCTGGGACTCATGGTCTTGAACCGCTTGGAGGGGATGCCGTCAGGGTCATCCTTAATGTGCAGGTCCGACTTGATGGGCACTGGCCGCCAGCTGCACGTGGGGTCGATGGTGACCTCTTCGAACTCGGAGCTGGGGGAAGAGGGGGCAGAGCTGAGGCTGCAGGGGGCTGAGCTGGGACAGGAGGTGTCCTTGCCCAGGTCCCCTGCCTCAGGCCTATGACAGAGGTATGGGGTTTTTACATCATGTGAGAGAGAGGGAGACGGAGGCTAGGAAAAGTAAGTGGCCGGGCACAGGGCAGCTGGCCCCACCCAGGAAGTGGCTGCTGGGGGCACTGTCAGCTTCCTACCCTGGCTGAGTTTGGTCCTTTCTGGAAAGTGCATTTGCCCCCAGGTACAGGAGCCACAGAGGTAAAGTCAGAGGAAGGTGAGAGATGGGGTAAGGGTGTCAGGGATGTTGACATGCTCACCCACCCAATCCAGGCTGCCATCCCCGCCCCCTGCCCCCGCGCCCCTCGCTGGGAGCCACTTACTGTTGGATGGCATTCAGGATGCCCCACATGTACTGATCCACCTCCAGGCCCTCCAGCAGAGCAGTTTTACTGGAAAAGGAGAGAAAAGGCTTGGCCGTGCCCCTGGACCCTAAGAGGTGGGGGCACAGCCCATCCCGCCCACTGTGT